GTTGGAGAAACAGTCTCATAGAAGTCCCTTGTGCCATTATACATTTGGTTCTTGTGGAGCTCCTGTCCTCTCCAGGTCATAATAACTCCACCTTCTTTCATATGATTCCCTGTACTCTGCCGAAGGTTTGGTTATGAGTCTCAGCATCTGCTTTGATACACTGCTAGGTGGAGTCTTTCAGAGACCCTCTGTCCTAGGCTCCTTTCCTGTTACTTGGTTTCTCCTACTTCCAATGTCCATCCCATTTGTCTCTGTAAGTGAAGATTGATCATCTTACCCTGGGTTCTCTTTCTTGTTTATCTTCTTTAGGTGTACAGATTTTAGTATGTTTATCCTATATTATAGTTCTAGTACACACTTATAAGTGAGTACATACGATGTGTTTCTTTCTGCTCCTGGGATATCTCACTCAGGATGATCTTTTCTAGATCCCACCAGTCGCCTGCAAATTTCATGATTTCCTTGTTTTTAATTGCTGAATAGTATTCCATTGTGTAAAAGTACCACAATTTCTGTATCTATTCCTCCGTTGATGGACATCTGAGTTGCTTCCAGGTTCTGGCTATTACAAATAAAGCTGCTTAAAACATAGTTGAAATGTTAAAGCAATCCAATTAAAAATTGGGTACAAAGCTAAATAGAGAATTCTCTGTAGAAGAATATAGAATGGCAGAGAAACACTTAAAGAGATGCTCAACGTCCTTAACAATCGAGAGATGCAAATCAAAATGACCCTGAGATTTTCCCTTATACCCATCAGAATGGCTAAGATCAAAAACTCAAGTGACAACACATGCTGGAGAGAAAGGGGAACCCTCCTCCATTGCTGGTGGGAATGTAAACTTCTACAACCACTTTGGAAATCAATCTGGCTCTTTCTCTGACAATTAGGAATAATGATTCCTCAAGATCCAGCTATATCACTCTTAGGCATATATCCAAAAAATGCTCAAGTACACAACAGTGTATTTCTCTTAAGCTACAACAGTTTTGATCTTTGGATCTGGAATGGCCCTCAAATTCCTTGTCATAAACTTATTGGCTCCACATGGCATAGCTTGGGGAATATGACTGGATCACAGAGGCAGAGCAGAAGCTCACACTCTCATAGGGTCCTTCTCCTACAATGCAGCACCTAATGTAAAGTGACTATACATTGTTACTAAAAGTGTTACTAAAGCGACTATAGTTATCAATGATATATATTTAAATTTTACCTTATCATTTTAATTCATGTCCAAAAATGGTAAATGATGTATGGTAGGCATACACACATGTTTTGAAACATCACAGAAAATGTAACCTCATTAGACTGTTTGTTTTATAGGAACAGGTTTCTTTAATTTCTAAATATATAAAAAACCATAATAGAGGATATTCATGGAAGAGCACTGCTTCATTGAAATTTTGTTGGCATTAGGACTACAGTGGATGGTATATTTGCAGAATCTAGAATCATCTAGATGATAAGCCTCTGAGCATACTTGTGAGAGATCTATATGAAGGTTAGCCTATAGGAATGTCTGAGAAGAATTATCTTGATTAGTTGAATTGACATACAAAAACCATTTCAACTCTGGGCAAAATTATTCCCAGAATGCGGATGTTGACCTCCCTAAAATGGGGAAAGTAACCTGAGCTCTAGCATTCTGCACACTCTACTTCTCAATTGTGTATGTGATGTGAGCATCTGCTTCATGCTCCTTCCAGTTTGTCTTCCATACTATAATAGGCTATATGCTTGAATTGTGTCCCCAAACAAACCATGCTCCCAAATAAGGAACAACAGTTTCCTGACTTGCTTTTGTCAGTGAAGTCTATTACAACAAAAAGAGAGATTAGGGTCCATCCCTATAAACCTGAAAATGGTGTCTTCACTGATTTGCTTCTTCAGGAAATGGAAGAATATTAGATTCTGCATTATTATGACATCCTCAATGATCCCTGAGCTAAGAAGAGAGAAGGGTAAGATTAAATGCAAACAATGAGTTATATAAAACAATGATTTTCTCTTACTACTTGTATCAAATCAAGGTATTTTCATGTGTAGATAATTTCCTTTAAATCTTAGTTTTAAAGAAACACAGACTTTACAAGGCACTGGAAGCTTTTAGGAGTAATTTACACATTCACCTCTTCCCACAGCCCTTCTCTTTCTGAGTCTCAGGCTTCAGCAGCACAGAGGTCTTTATTTTTTCATGGATCTTCCTCAGCCTCCATCATATCTATTTACTCAGAAGTCAGTTGTTGGGTAGAGATGTGTCTAATTGTTTATGAGCCCTAGCTACTCTTCAGAAGATCTAGGTTCAATTCCCAGAAAGCATGGTACCTGACAACTATCCATAACTCCAACTTCAGGAGATCTGATGCCCTCCTCTGGCTTTTGCAGGCACCAAGTACAACATCGTGTATAGACCTGCACTCAGTTGAGAAATAGATACAGAAACTGTGGTACATTTACAGAATGGAATACTACTCAGCAATTAAAAACAAGGAAATCATGAAATTTGCAGGCAACTGGTGGGAACTAGAGAAAATCATCCTGAGTGAGGTATCCCAGAAGCAGAAAAATACACATGGTATGTATACACTTAAAATGTGTATTAGACATATAATATAGGATAAACATACTAAAATCTGTACACCTAAAGAAACTAATCAAGAAGGAGGACCCTGGGTAATATGTTCAACCTTCATTCAGAAAGGCAAATGGGAGAGACATTAGAAGAGGGGAAAAAAACAGCAGCGAACAGGACAGGAGACTCCCACAGAGGGCATCTGAAAAACTCTACCCAGGAGAGTATCAAAACATATGCTGAGACTCCTAGCCAACCTTTGGGCATAGTATAGGGAATCTTATGAAAGAAGGGAGAGATAGAAAGACCTTGAGGGAACAGGAGCTCCACAAGGAGAGCAACAGAACCAAAAAAATCTGGGCCTTTCTGAGACTGATTCTCCAACCAAGGACCATTATGGAGATAACCTAGAAACCCTGAACATATGTAGCACATAGCAGCTCAGTATCCAAGTGGGTTCCCTAGTAATAGGAACAGGGGCTGTCACAGACATGAATTCAGGGGCTGGCTCTTTGATCACCTCCCCCTGAGTGGGGAGCAGCCTTATCAGGCCACAGAAGAAGACAATGTAGCCAGTCCTGATGAGACCTGATAGACTAGGGTCAAATGGAAGGAGGAAGAGGACCTCCCCTATAGGTGGACAGGGGGAGGGGCATAGGAGAAAAAGAGGGAGAGAGGGTAGGCTTGAGAGGGGACGAAGGAGCAGTCTACAGCTGTGATACAAAGTGAATAAACTGTTAATTAAAAAATAATTAAATTTGTTAAAGAATGTTAAAAAGAAGACCCTCACATCATCTCTCTTCATTTACTAGTTTGCTGTACATGCTGTTGAAAGCTGAAGTGTGACTAATGATTGTATCTTTAGTACATCTAGGGAAATGTATCAAAGAGCACTCAGCTCTGACAGGTAGCTTGGAGAGGAAATCCACATGTACTTATCAGAAATTATTTAATGTTTTGTATCTGAAAGTTTATGTAAAAAAGTATTTATGTAACTCAAAATAGAAGGAAATGCATATTGAACAAATAATTATTTATGTTTCAATAATATTTGTGGATTAATGTAAAACATTAACATCAGATAAGTAATTTGTGTTGGGTAGATAATGCCATGAGCTGCCTTGTAACCGGGTGATTGATGCTACACATTTTTGGGAGATTGTCTCCACGTATAGATTAGATTGGCCTAGAAGTTGGTATGTACCCCAGCAGACCTCAAATTCATGAGTTTCCTGCTTTTGTGTCTCCAGTTCTGGGAGTACACATGTGAATCTCCATCCCTTGCCATAATATTTGATTTATTGAATTTCTCTTTTTACTTTATACATAATTCTGGCTTTATAATTTATTTCTTATATATACTTTCTGATTTCAATAATATGAAGTCTTGGCAGGTTCTGTGATTTCTTTTATCACTATTGATTTTTTTTATATACTTTTTTATGCTCTGGATAGCAACAATTGCTGATGTAGTGTTCGATTGTTCTCTATAAAATTGTTAAGTAGATTAGCATGGTTGTGCCCACTTCTGGAGAGACTTACCTGTTCATGATGTCAGAAGCCCATCTTGATCCAGTTTCAGTACTGCTAATTTCTAAATTACACCAGGGTTTGTATTCCAGAATAAAACTCACGGTGTTGTTGGTTTACAGAATAGACTTCATGAAAAAGCAGTTTTTCCCCTTTCATTTATCCAGATTCAGACAACTCTTTCAATTAATGACTTTGTGGGGAAGATAACTGTTAGTTTCTGCTGGGTATCCTTTGCTTTGAGATTAAAGTTCCTCTGATCTCAATCTTAAATTAATGTCTGCCAGGATTTCCACTGAGTGAATTCTGGGCTGCTCTTTGCATCTTAGTCCCTTGTTGATCTAGAGAAACTAAAGCCCATTTATCTGATGTCTTGATCTCTGTCTTCACTCCAAAGAGTGGCTTTGGAGATGAGTAATATTGAACACATTTAGCCTCAATTCTCTTCTTTCTTTTTATCTTTTCTTCCCTCTAAACTTTCTTTTATGACATGTTTTCTTACTCTTTTACTTTCATTGTTGTGATTTTTTAAACATAAACTGTCATATCCCTAGGACTGTCAGTCTGAGATATCTCTACTAATGTATCTTCAGAAGTCAATTGATTTAAATAGGTCTTGGATTTTATGGTGGTCTATATGTTAGACCACCATATACTTTTCTGTCTGAGAACTGTTAAGACAATCTTTTACAGTGATTGCTCATGTTCTCTCTAATAGTATTTTTGACTGTTGATTGACACCAGCTACATTCACAGACACTGCAGAGGCATTTGCTTTTGTATTTGCTGACTGTTTTTCATGGGGCCCCTTACAGATCCGACTGGCTGCTGAGAATTTATAAATCAGGACTTTGCAGTAAGAACTGAACTGTATCAGACAACAGGGGGAGAAAGATGAAGTCACAGACCCAGGTCCTCATATCCCTGCTGCTTTTGGTGTCTGGTGAGAAACTCAAATTATTATAATCTTTGCAGAGTCACTTCTTTGCAGAAAAGAAAATTAGGGTGTGCCAGAGTGTTATTTCATAATAATACTCTCACAAGTTTATAGCACAAAGACATTAAATGACAAATATCACAACTGTTTTACAATCTGTTTGTTTTTATAAGCATATTCATTGTGTATTCCTGATTGCAGGTGCCTGTGCAGACATCGTGATGACTCAGTCTCCATCCTCCCTGGCTGTATCAACAGGAGAGAAGGTCACCATAAGCTGCATGTCCAGTCAAAGTCTTTATTACAGTGGCAACCAAAAGAACTACTTGTCCTGGCACCAGCAGAAACCAGGGCAATCCCCTAAGCTGCTGATCTACCGGCCATCGACTCAGCACACTGGGGTCCCTGATCGCTTCACAGGCAGTGGATCTGGGACAGATTTCACTTTCTCGATCAGCAGTGTGCAAGATGATGATCTGGCAGTTTATTACTGTCAGCAGGGTATTAGTGATACTCCCACAGTGATTCAGCTTTCAACACAAACCTTCAGAGTCTCACCAGCTGCCTGCACCACACACAGCCCTATGCTGCACACTTCCACTTTTTGCCTGATAGAAGGTGTGCCTGAAAAAGTGATGAAAAATTTTAAATCCCAGTACCCCAGTACAAAATTGTCAGTTCTCTTATCCCTTTTGGTATGAAAAACCTTTATATGAAAATGCCAAAAAAAAAGAACAACAACAACAAAAAACTCTCAGTATTATTTTTCTGTAACACATTACCACAAACTACTGCTTGAATATAAGAGATTTATCATTTTATAGTGTTGGATTCTTGATATACATTACACTTTTTGGGCTGATGTGATGATAATAGAAAACTTCATTTCAATTTGGAGGCTCTAGGAAAGGGTACATTTCTTGCTTTTTCTAGATTATAGGTATTTTTCCTCCTTCCCTTCCTTCCTTTCTTCCTTCCTTCTTTCCTTCAATCCTTCCTTCCTTTTTTTCTTTCTGCTACCTATTTTTTGGTGCTTATTCTTTTACTTTCCATAAATTCTTTTAATTTTATTACATTTTGGTTAGTTACATTTGTCTGCATGCATTTCAGTGTGCATTAGTGTGTCTGTGAGTGCATATTTATAGGTGCACATATGACATAGCATGTTTATGGAAGTCAGAGGACAATTTAGACGTGACTCATTTTTCATTTTGTTTCTGGGGATCAAACTCAGGTTTGATACCAAGCTTAGTGAAAAGTATCTTTGCAATATGAGTTATCTTGCTGTCCCTTAAAGTCTTTTATGGGTGAAAGTCATATCATGAAAGTCATATCTTTCCAATATAGTATGTATTTTGACCATATGTACACACGTTCATTTTGCCTTTCGGTTCCTGCTATTTCTTCTTTCCTGTCAGAAGATGCTCAAGAAAAGGGATTCAGGAGACATCCAGGCTTTCAGAAGGCAACCAAGTTTCTTTTTTTATTTTTTCCCTAGGCCTCCAGTAGAGGTAAATAGAGGCAGAGATTCTGTCTTTGGCATTTCTTCCTCTAACTGAAACCACCTTCTTCTGTACTGCTATTACTGTAACTCTCAAAATTCTGGCACAGTATGAAAGAGACCTTTACTGCCATCATTTCCTGGGTATTTACCTGTCCTGGTTGAGGAGATCTCGAACAGGATATTTATGAAGATGTACTGCTGTGAGACACACGTTCCCCTTATCAACACCATTAATCAACAGGCCAAACTAAGAGCTCTTACCCATATTTTCCTTTTGGCCCAGGGACAACCCCTTAACATTTATGCAGACTCAGAATATGCCTTTCATATTCTTCTCTCCCATGCTGCCATATGGAGAGAGCGTGGGCTACTTACAGCAAAGGGAAGATCTGTAACCAAGGCAGGCCAAATTATAGCCATGCTAGAAGCCTCCCACCTTATCATAGCCATTAGTCCCACTGGATGGACGATTCAATTATTTCTAAATGAAATAACCAGGCTGACAAGGCACTTGGAGCTACAGCACTTCAAGGCCTAGACTTGTGTCATCCTCCAAGGACAGCCTTATACTACAAACCCACATCTCCCCTTTCATCTCCTGACCCTTATCAGATTCTGTCCTATCTGCATCAGCTCTTTCATCCTAACAACCAAGCCTTGTCTAACTTTGTTAAGACCCACCTGAAGCTCACCCCTGAGGACTTGTGTTTCCTAAAGACTATTACTGCCTCTTGTAAAATCTGGTAAATTTCAGATCCTAACCCAGGATATCATAGCTCCCATTTCCATACCCACCAGGCTAGAGGCTCTCTTCCCTGGACTGACTGGCAATTTGATTTTTCCCACATGCCAGCAGTCAAATGTGTCCATTTTCTTCTAATCTTGTTTGACACTTTCTCACAATGGGTGGAGGAATTTCCCACTACTAATAAAAGAACTCAGACAGTTTCTGGTCTCCTTTTCCATGAGATTATCCCACGTTTTGAAATCCGCACCTCCCTCCAGTCAGAGAGTGGTCCTGAGTTCACTTCTCAGGTTTTCCAGACTTTATCTAAAACCCTTAATATTCCTTCATATTTTCAGACCCTATATCAGCCTAGTCCTCAGGAAAGACAGAGAGAACTCACTGATCCTTACAAAAATACCCTTGTTAAACTATCACAAGAGCTTCATCTTGCTTGGGTTTTTACCCCTGGTGCTTTTCAGGCTATGAGCTCTCCCCAAAAAACCTCTGTCCATCTTGCCTTTTCACTTCATGTATGGACAACCGGCTCTAACTTCTTGTCTTTCAGCTAAATCTTATCCTCTTTCTGACCATTTACTTACTCCCTTACACTGTTGTCTCCATTCTCTTCTATGGAACTCTGCTGACTACTGTTTACTATAGCCACAATAAACACCTGTCCTATTAACATCAGGAACCTGGTCTTTCTCTCCCCTCCAGATCAACACCTCTCATCTCTTTCTCCTAAATGGCAGGGCCCTTTCAAGATAATTCTTGTGAGCCCCACATCTGCCAAGCCTGAGGGCTTTCCTCATTCGATTCATCTGTTTCAACTCAAGCCTCTTGCTCCCTTTCCACAAGATAGTGAATGCCCCCTCATACATATTAACTCTAACAGGACCCTGTTCCCTGAAGCTCCAGAGGATGCCAAGACTAACCACCTTGTCTCTGGCTCCAGAGGGATAAGGCCTTGCTGCAGCAGTTGCATTCGCCTCAACTGGGTTGGTATGTGTTTTTCCTCCTCTCCCTCTTGTCTGTTTCTGTCCAGGGTAAGTAATCCCTACATAAGGAGATTCGAAGTTCAAGAAACAATCATTGATAAAAAAAAGTATCTCGAAATAAGTTTAGGAAATTGCTCTATGGGAGACTGTCAGGAGACAATTGAAATACCAGTCACCCCCACATCTACCCTTCCTCTCTTATTTGATAGAATTTGTATTTATTTCCTCTATGACCACTCAAAAGATTATTGCAGGAAATGGCTGGATAGATATGGAGGCAGCCCATACTGTTCTTGCCAGATCCACACACCAGCACAAAAGAAGCTCCTTCACCTGTATAGAAAGACTCTCTACTTCAACATTCAAGACTCTTAAGATCCCAGATGGGAAAACTCTACCACTGCCACACAGTGATTTGCCAATAAGTACAACCCAGATCCAAAGAAAATATATCTAATTACCCAATCCCTGGTGATGGGAGAATTAAAGAAGGTCTACCTGCTAGTTGGTCAGAAGTTTGCATGCTGGTGCTCCTCTTCCGTGAGCTGGTTGTGATAAATGAAAAGGAGCTTACTGATCCCAGTTGTGGATGCAATAGCTGCCTGGCAGGATAAGAGGGCAATGCAAATCCAACCTCTCATGGCTGTTGCATGAATCACAGCAGCTGTCCAACCTGGACAGAAGGACTAGACGCGTCACTAATTTTATATTATCGGCTTTCTTTCCAGTTCAACCACCATCTCCAGAAAATGGCTCAGAAAATATTAGCTCTCCAAGGACAGATAGACTCACTGGCAGCAATCGCACTTCAAAATGATGAGTTTGTGTTGATGAATATTAAAATTTAATATTGACTTATATTTTAGTTAAACTGCAGTTATTGTTAAACCATTTGTATACCCAAATCACCACACAAAGGTTAGTATTTAATTAACCTAGAGCACAAGGGTGGGTAATAATTATTCCATCCTAATTCTCCAAGCCTGCATAGCTTTTCCCATTCAGATTTAAAATATTATATTTGCTTTTTAGTCATATCTTAGGTCTGTTTCATTTCTCCTGGTGTTTCCTAGTCCTTAGTCCTCCCCTCTCAGATCTCTCCTCCCACTTGCTTCTTTCTCCTCCCTTCCAGACCAGGATATCCCACCCTATTCTCTTTATTGTTCAGCATTGGCTGCTTGTTTTTATTTGCAATACAGAGAACAAATGGTAGCAAGTTTACACTTGACACAGGTGATGCTTAGAAAAAGCAATGTCCAGATTGAAGCCAGATAGTAGGGTAGAGAAATCAGCATTTGAATGAACAAGGGTAAATTGTATACATTCCACAAGAACATTATACCAAAGATGATTGGATCTCCTTAAGGCTAAAAAAAAATGTAGTCTTTGCATCTTCTTCCAAGAAGAATGCTGTTTTTATGTAAAACAGTCTGGTATAGTAAAAGGCAAAATCCATCAACTCCAGACATATCTACAAAACCAAAGGGAACAACTCTAGACTTCTAATTCCTGGGCCTTTGAGAGCCTCATATGGAAGTGGATTCTGCCCTTCCTCATACCTCTTCGGCCTGTCTTCTACTGTTGCTTCATGCAGCCTGTTTATTAACTTCTCTACATTCCTTCAACACAGAAGTAAAAAATCTCTAACCAGACCATTAATTAGTTACTCTTACAGGATTATTATCCTCTGCCAACACAACCAGATGACAATGACCTCCCCCCCTCTAATTCTTGGGGCAGTACCACAAGAATGGCCATGTTCCTAATCAGCAGGCAGTAGCTTGTAGAGCACAAATTGCCTCTAAGCCCTTCCCACAATCACCCTCCTTCTTAGTTCTTCACTTTTTAATTAAACAGAGGGAGGAATATTGGGATCAGTAAATAGGCATCTCTCTCTGAAAGTTCTTGGGGAGATCCAAGAGAATTTAGATTGGTTATATAAGGTTAATTTGGAACAACTGTTATTTGAATGAAAGGTCTGGTTGTGTGTTGGGGAGAGTATAATTTCTTAAGCTTTGATTGCATCAAAATAGTCTTGTCTTTAATGGGTGTTTAGGTAGGTTCTTTTAATTGAGATATTTTAAGACCATGGAAGATTGAGGAGGGTCTTGACAGACAGTGGGTGGAACAGTCTGTAAAAGTTTTTTTTTTTTTCTGGGGGGGGGGGTTGATGTGGGAAGGTTGAAAGCCCTAACCTTTTGTTCCCAAAGGGTGGCTTAGATGGCCAAGGATGCAAGAAGCCAGAAGTGGGGAGAGGGCATTGGTTACTATGGTATTGTCAGTAAGAGGGACTGTGACTAAGCAATGGCTTAGAAAAAGACTCAGAGAGAAAACAGTAGGAGGCACTAATGAGTTGAGTAAAGAGTTTGTTGGATGACCTTGACCCAAGTGAGGGTTTAATCATATGTCTATGTGTGTTTGAGAGAGAGAGAGACAGACAGAGAGAGAGAGAGAGAGAGAGAGAGAGCGAGG